AAGTCCCTGGGGATCTAATTCTGCTGTTTATTGTTTGCCTTGACTCATTAATACTGGCTGTTTCCTTGTAAATTGTGTTATTTTGGATTATGAGCTCTTACTGGCTGGGACTTACCTATAGAAAACCTGAAAACTCTGAAATGAATGATTTTTCTTGAAGAGATTCATATTTCCTTCTGCCAGATTCCTGGGGACAATTGAAGTTAACTCTTAATTTTCCTAGACTACACAAGCAGTATGAGTTTGAACCCCAATCTCATCTGTGAGCAGGATGTGGATTCTCAAGGGAGAATTATTGTCTCTTTTAGATGCCAACCCTTGATAGAGAAGTGTCCTTCTTGTTTTCCTCTCCTGATGGCAGATTATTTTTTTTCCTAGTCCAGTCTATCAGTGATGATGATGATGATGAAAGAGATCTAGTTCCAATTTCTGATCTTGCTGAGTCCTGAGCCCTTGACATCTAGTCCCTTCAGGATAATGAAAACCAGGGTTCTAGGATCCAGGGAGTAGTAAACATATTCAGGGAAGCCACTACTTTGGACAATCAATACAATTGTTTGGAAAAATAAAGAAATAAAAATACTTCAATAAATCATGAATTATTAATACTAATCACCCAAGTTAAGAATGTATATATATTTGTGTGTATATTTAGGAGATACTTTAAATATGAATTTGTTTCCTTCTTGTGGTATCAGGGCTTATATTGATAATTTTGTATTCAACTGATGACACTCAAAAGACTGAAATTTTAAAAAAAATGTTCTTAAGGTCAAATCAAATTGAAGACAATCATTCTTTATTCCATTTATAAGACCTAGTAACTTGTCTTGGTAAAGCTAGTACTAAAAATGCCTCTTTGTAGACAGGTAGTTAAAATACCATACAAAACTCATTTTTGACTGTCAAACCAAAATTATTTGCAAGCCATAGATACATACAACCTTGTATGCTGACACCTCACTTAACTGTTAAATCACCTGAAAGATTATCTTGTCTTTCTTTTATGTGAATTCAGAAGCACAAAGCTATTTAAAATTCCTTCTCCAGAGGAATTCTATTAGGAGTATTATATTTCTTTGGCAGTCCTAAAAGGAACCAGCTCGATATTTTAACATCATATTTTTTAAAGCTACTTTGGGTTATTTTTTAAAAAGTTAGATTGAAACCTGAGAAATATGCACTATGCAAATGGCATGAATTGTATCAGAGTTCTACAGCTCAAAGTGTTCTTTCACACCTGTCTGGTAGCAAGGTAAACCATTCCTACTAGCACTGTGACATTCAAAAATGCGAGTGATTAGTAAATGCAAGTGATTAATGCAACACAATCTATTTGTGTTTTCACCTACTACTCTCTGCATATTTAAATATGCACAAACAGATAGATTGTGTTTTCATATATAAGTTTTAGAGTATCCCAGAAGGGCATTTGAATAAAAAGAAAAAAAAGATTTATTGTAACATAAAAAATTGTCTATAGTCACAGTGCAACTATGGGGAAAAGAAATTATTGAAGCATAGCTCAGGTAATTTTAAGAGACTGATGCTAATAGATAGTGGAGGCTGAATACATTCTGAATTATGAAAAGAAAGAAAATAGTGGACAAAGGAAGACAATAGCAATAATAACTACCACTTATTTGGGTTCTTACCATTTATCAGAACTATACTGAATGCTTAAAAACAGTCTCAACTCTATGAGAATCCATTTATCAAGTGTTTAATACATACCACTTTATTCATGGAACAACTATTTGAGTTAGGTACCATTATTTGCTCTGTTCTCCAAATGAGAACACTGACAGAGTTGCATCAAATTTCCCAAGGTCACATGAACTTGAAAGTGTTCAGTCAGATAGAAAAGCCAAAATAGGCTGATTGCAGAGACTATGCTTTCTAGTAACCTCTCCAGTATATTCTCATTTAACTACTGATCTTCATCTCAACCCAGTTGGGATGTGTCTTATTCATCCTATTTTAAAGATAGGCAGATGGAGGTAGACACTAAGTAACTTGCACAAGATTCCTTATGAGTTCTAGTAGCAAGATTAGAACTGGTTTAGTCTGGTTCCAGACTCTGAACTTTCCACCCTATTATTTCTGCCTTTGTTACAGTATTTTTTATTCTTCAGTTATTTGGTCATTTGGTCATTTATTTAACAAATATTTGTTGAACACTTTGTATAATGCTTTCTTCTGGGCTCTGGGAATACAAAGAAAGTGAAAAAGAAAGTCAAAGTTCCAAAGTTTACATTCTAGTTGTGGGGGGAGATAGGCAATAAACAAAAAAACCAATAAGTGAATGTCAAGTGTTAGTAACTGCAATGAAGAAAAATAAGGTGATGTAAGAGGCTAGAAAATGATGAGAAGATAGGTGTATTCAAATTTTTTAGATAAGATGGTCAATGCAAGGAAATGTGCAACTGTCACTGGTAATTTTATGATACTGTCATTTTCTATCACAAGTATCTTGACTCCCTGGTTCATATGACATTGAAACTGAATCTGAGTTTTGTATCATTCTTCTGGTTTCCAGAAGAATATGCGTGACTTAACATCTACCATTTCATTGCAGAGATGATTTTATGCTGGTTTTATTTATTCTGCTTGAAGAGACAAAATGAATAATTGTTTTCTTTCTAACTATCAAAAATAATCAGCACAATAAGGTGAACCAATGTTTGGACTTAATAGGAAAGTGTGCCTTGCCAACAATTAAGGAAAATGGTCTTCTCCCGTCATTAACACTTGATGTGGGATATTAGTTCTTCCAGGCAATCTCATGATAAAAGCAGTAGTGATGTCAAGAACTAATCGACAGATTTTAATTGAAGAACACTTATATTACAGAGTATATGACAGTGAGATGTACAAAAAAAAACTTGTTTTTGCTTTTCTTTAAAAAGCTGAAACTCTTCTTCCCAGTAGTAATTAAAAATAAACGGCAGTCATTAACTTACTGTGGGCTTCTAATGACCACAACATTGCTTCCTTGCATGAATGATTTACTGATCTCAAGCAAAGTAATTCAACACTGAAGTTATCTTGAAAATTAAAAACCATTCTAGATAATGAATAGTTTCAATTTCTATAGCACCAATTTATGTGTAGTCTTTTCTTTTTAATGTATTCTTCTGCACACGTACAACCTGCTAACTAACAAAAATGGTCTGAAAGGGACTCTACACAAAAGAATAGCTCACAAAGCTCAGTTTCTGTGCTTAATTCTATAGACTTAGAGATGACGTTCACTCATTCATTCATTCAACCAACATTTATTGAGAAGCTTTTTTTAGGCTAAGCATTTTCCCAAATGCTTTGGGAGTAAAACAAAACAAAACAAAACAAAACAAAACAAAACAAAACAAAAAACGGTCTCTGCCCTCAAAAGAATTTATTTTATAGAATTGAATAATATTTTATTCTAATCTTGTTCCTCTTATTTAATTGGTTGTATCATAATTTAATTAACCATTCCCATGTTGTAGGATATTTAGGAAATATATATATGATATAAAAAGGCTGCATTTAAAAAAAAAGCCTGTGTTGAGGATGTGAGGGAGATCTGGCTGTGATATCTGTCACCCCATTGATCGCCAGGGTTGACTAAGCTGATCTGACTGGCTGGGGGGGCCCCTTCCTCCTTCACTGCTCCCTGTGCATCCCTCCTGACATGTGCTACTCGCTCTGTGAAAGAGGAGGCTCTTTCCCAATAGAGGAGGACTGTTCTTCTGTCAAGGGTATAGGAGTAGCTGCATTCCCCTGCTAAAACCTCCAAATGAGCTGCCCAAGTCCATTTGTAGAACGTAGGGTAGTCAAGCTTCCAAGACTCTAGACACATTCAAATAGGGCGCTGCATGTGGCAGTCTGCCTTGCTTTAAAAAAAAAAATGTTTGTGTTGAATACTCCTGATAATAAATATTTATTCACATTTCTGATTATTTTTTTGGAATGGATTTCTACACAACAGTTTAATAACTAGGTCAAAGGCATGTACATTTTAGTCTCTTAACAAATTTGATGAAAATAAGTCCCAAATTGCAAAATAGGAGAAAAGCTTGTATCATTTTATATTGCCACCAACACTGTATGAGAGAGCCTTTTCTTATTCCGTTTCCTTGTCAACCTTAAGAATATCAATGTTCCTGGGGCACCTGGATGGCTTGTCAGTTGAGTGTCTGACTTTTGATTTCGGCTCAGGTCATGGTCTCTGGGTCCTGGGATGGAGCCCTGCATTGGGCTCCACACTCAGTGGGGAGTCTGCTTGAGGATTCTCTCTCTCACTTTCCCTCTGCCCTCCTGCCTCCTCAAATAAATAAATAAATCTTTTAAAGAAAGGAATATAGAATGTTCCACTAAATGTGTATCATTGATCATTAATCTTTAATAGTCTTCCAAATTGTTACAAAGTTTCTCATTTTCAAGAATAATTTATGAAATAATATAATACTGATAAAAAATTTTCAGCTGATATTGATAGTTTAAATCTGACAAGGGATCATCCAGGGTTTTGTTGTTGTTGTTTCTCATATATGCTGATTTTTAGAGTATTAAGAGGTTATGAATAATACTGTCTGTTGGTTTGAGAAGTTTGACTAAAAATATGAAGATTACAGTTGATCAAATTGAATATTGACATAAAAGCAAATGTCAGAAAATAAATAGATCTGTATTTTGTTAGAGCTTATTTCATAAAAAATATACTTAGGATATTGAGAATTAAATATGGTAGTAAAACATTGTATTTAGTTCTACTGTGTTATATTTTAGCACAAAATTCTTACCTAAAGAAAAGTGAAAAAAAATACTGTGCATAGGTTTTACAAGGTCCTAACCCAATGTTACTTAAAAATGAAGTTATAGAGTAGCTTCATGGTTTGCCTGTAATTATCTGTTGCATCTTTATAACAGCATTTTTGCCCTTTGTTTCTTTGTATGCTCAACTACTTGATCTTTCTGTTCTTATCTCAGTGGTTGTGTATGCTCTTTATTTCTAGAACCATCGGCCACAAAAACCGGTATGTCAAAGTTCCCCGGGGTCACATCTGGGTTGAAGGTGATCATCATGGACACAGTTTTGACAGTAATTCTTTTGGGCCGGTAAGTCATCTTGTTGCATGCTAATAATTGGATACATGTAGGAACAAAATTATGTCAGGTGGGTTACTCAGGTAATCCAGCCAAGAATGATCGTGAATTGTAGAGTGAAGCAGTTTATATTTGAAAAGTTCCTTTTAAATATTATATAGATAATATAAGCTGTCAAGGTGTGTGTATGTGTGTGTCTTTCATAGAAAAGAACTTAGATCCTTTAATAAAGTACCAAAGATGTTTTCAGTGGGCTGACTAATCCCAGTAGGAAGGTTTAGTTATTTTCTCCACAGAAACACTTTGTGCCGTATGTTTTCAGTTAGTGTTTAATAGATATAATGTGTAAAAGACCTATAAGCATCAGTTTTCTAAATCGTTTGTCAAAAATGCAAGTATGATGGAAATCATTTTGGTAAGTCACATTTTATCCACATTTAATTTATAACAGAAATGTGGACATTCCTTATGCCTTGTTTATATTCTATGAAATATGTGATTAAATTGATATTTTGTAATTTTTTTCATTTTGAATGCATATGGAAATTCTCTATGAACTCTTGAAATAAATCATTATGTAAAGTGAAGAATATTTTAGTTAGTAGAAACTGAACCTGACTTCTAGTTACCTATGTCTGTTTAAAAACTTGTATCTTTAGCTCATTAGATTTTCCTATAGCTAGACCTATCTATATTTATTATGTATGTGTAAATTAATATTGAGCACATTCAGATATGTTTGCAAAAACAATTACCCGCATGCTTTTGTCTAAAACTAAATGTTGATGGTCTATAAAACAATTTCTATCGTGTATTATGAGTGACCACTATTATTGTCCCTAGAGGATCAGCCACTTTGACTTACCTTTGGCTAAAAGTACAGTAAGAGAGATGGGGTTGGATGGGTGTTATATGGATAAGTGGAAGAAAACGTTATATGAGATTACTCCTACTTCTTTTTGGGGGGAGGGTTTGCAGTGATGATAATAAAACCTTCTAAGGTCTTTTTTGCTTTTGAATAGTAATTATTACAAAAATGCAATTTAATCTTTTTAGGGTATATCAAAGATGGGATGAACAGATTGGAAATGTTATAGGTCATTTAGAGTGTGGTAGAAGTGACTTATGAAAAAATTTAGTAGCAACTTGAAAGTGAAAATAAATCATCTAAAAGCTGTTTTATTTCTCTCTCATCAATGAGATTTAATCTATTGAGTGTATCATGTTGTTGGCCAAATCCACATTAAAATTTTGGTTAACTTTGGTTTGGGTTTTAATTCATTAGGGTAGTGACTCTGAAATCAAGTGTTAAAATTATTGTGTTTTGTTATCAGGTGTGGGGTATGTGGTGAATAATTAGGTATTCATTATAAAGTACTAGAGTTTGAGGTTGCTTTGCTTTTTCTTTATGAATAAATAAAGCCAATGCAATATTGCTTATATAATTACTATTATTGTCAATCTATCATATTCCATATACTTTCTTATTTGGGAGAGAAGATGATAGAGTTGATAGAATACTGGGAATTGCCTGTAACCCTCAGTGTATCATATCTATTGTGCAGCTTTTCCTGGGCTCTGTTTTCTGTTGTGCACTTAATAACAGCATTTTGTACCATTGAACTGTGAATATACCCAGGAAGGTGTATCAGCTATGGAAATATCCTGTCATTTATATCTCTCAAAAAAGGAGAAAGTGGAGCACCTGGGTGGCTCAATTGGTTAAGTGTTGGACTCTTGATTTTCCTCAGGTCATGATCTCAGGGTCCTGAGATTGAGCCCCGTGGCAGGCTCCCAGCGTAGAGGCTGCTTAAGATTCTCCCTCTCCCCCTCTGTCTGCCCCTCCCCCTGCTTGAGTGCATGCTCTCTCTCTCTAAAAATAGATAGATAAATAAATAAATAAATAAATAACAAAATAAAGTAAGAACCATGTATGAAGGATCCCACTGTATTTTTTACAATAAGAATCTACAGTATGCAAAACATTGACAAATATATTGTGTGCAGCACTTTAATGACATTTGGTTTAAATTGTGTTTTTAAATGAAGTCCACTTGTCCAGTAGAACATGACCAGTAATAAGAGTCAGAGGCACAAAACCATTGTGAAATTTAGTGGTTGTTTTCTTCCCTTTTTAATTGTTATAAACAAACAAACAAGCATAAAGTCCCTTGGTTCATGGGGTGGGCTAAGCTATCAATATCCACTCACTTAACTAGTTTTATTTTTATTTTTCAAAATTAGGTGAAGAACCTTTCTAGGATGAAAGAATATATTTGTCATGTCCTGTATAAAGCTATTTGTATTTGATGAGTTACAGGACATCTTTATTTTACTTTTACAACGAACTCTCCTGTTTTGTGTACCAATAGCATTTATGACTAGGAACAATTATTAATATTGATGCTCCCAAGCACATCTTAAAAGGACAAAAGGGGAAACAAGTGAAATAAAACTTACAATCCTTACTTAAAGCTAAACTGTGATGTTGGAGTATAGAGTTTTCTTATTGCAGTTTTTAAAAGATTTTATTTATTTATTTGAGAAAGACAGTGAGAGCATGAGTGGGGAGAGGGAGAGAGAGAGAGAGACAATCTCAAGCAGCTTCCACACTGATCATCGAGCCCCATATAGGGCTGGATCCCAGGACCTGGAGCCCATGACCTGAGCTGAAATCAAGAGTCAGGCACTTAACCAACTGAGGCACCAGGTGCCCCTCTTCCTCTCTTCCATTTTTGATTAATGAATGGTTATTGGAATATTTTGGTGATTATTTTAAAGTTTTTATAATTCTAAAAAATAAAAGGTAAGATTTTGCAATTCTAAAAAACTAAAAATTTTGAATTTTAAAATTCATATATACTTGGAAATTATTATATTTTTCCAATAATTCTAAGTTGCATTTTTTGGCTTATCATTCAGTGTACTTGGAGGTTACATGTGGAAGGTGAGTAAGCTCTAGGCTTTCTGGATGGTTGATTCATTTCTCCCCTTGGAAGTAGGGAATGCTCGTTTTCTTGATGTAAACAATCTATCCTAAGGCAGCCAGGATTGTCTCTGAGATGCTTATCTTGACATTTTGATTGAAGTCTTTATCCTTCATTTGCCTACCAAATAATTTCAGAAATGTATTCAAATAGTTTTACATGCTTTAACTTTTTGAATAGTAATTATACTCTATAATAGAATTTACCTAGTTTATTTTAAATTGTGGCCTACTAGCAGTCATAATGGAGGTAACTTTTTCCATATTCAGGTAGACTATTGCTTGAAATCTAAAGAAGAATAAGAAAGAATGTCTCATTCTGGTGTTTTTCTAGTTTGTTTTATTCTTTCTTATTTATTCTTTAACATTTCAGTTTGCTTTTCTGATTTGTTTTATTGCCACTCTGTGGAGACTTTCAGGAGGGAATGAAATAGTTATGAGTAAAAGATGAATAATGGATTATGAATTTAAAGACAGCAATATTGATATAGCAATAGAATACATACGGAAGAACAAGATCCAACAGCTGTACTTTTATTTTTATTTATTTATTTATTTATTTTTTTAAGATTTTTTTATTTATTTGATAGAGAGAGACACAGCGAGAGAGGGAACACAAGCAGCGGGAGTGGGAGAGGGAGAAGCAGGCTTCCTGCTGAGCAGGGAGCCTGATGTGAGCCTCGATCCCAGGACCCTGGGATCATGACCTGAGCCGAAGGCAGACGCTTAACGACTGAGCCACCCAGGCGCCCACAGCTGTACTTTTAAATTACAGAGAATGACATTATAGGAAGAAACAGAAAATCAGATAATTTTGGTTATGGACATCATCAATCAATTAACTTAACTTGTATGGGTCTACATTTCCTCATGTATAAAAGGAAGAGTTTTTTCTTCTCTGAATCCATCTTTAATAAATAACAAAAAGTATATATTTTATCTCAATAGGTGATAAAATTTATTTAATTGTACTCCTATGATATATATAACCAAAAGATATATCATCACAATTTTAGTAAACATCCTCAGCAACCTAAAATAAGAGCATAATTAAATAAAGTGTGGTTCAGAGTTTGAAATATTATCAGTCATTAAAAATTATATTTGTGACATACATGACATAATGTTCATGATATTGTTTTAAGTAAAAGCATAAATACCAGAATAAACAGTATTATGTTAATTGTTTCCAGATGTTATGACTATGGTTGATTCTTTTTTGTACCTTTGTACTTTTTTGTGTGTGTTTTAAAAGATTTGCAACAAGGGGCGCCTGGTGGCTCAGTTGGTTAAGTAACTGCCTTCGGCTCAGGTCATGATCCTGGAGTCCCGGGATCGAGTCCCACATCGGGCTCCCTGCTCAGCAGGGAGTCTGCTTCTCCCTCTGACCCTCCCCCTCATGTGCTCTCTCTCTCTCTCTCTCTCATTCTCTCTCTCTCTCTCTCAAATAAATAAGTAAAATCTTTATTAAAAAAAGACTTGCAACAAGTTTTATTATTTTTATAATTAGAAAAAAATCTGAGTTCTTTTAAAAAGTAGGATAAAGCTGTTTAAAGTAAATGGCTTCTAAGTTTCATTCTGACTCTTAAGTTTTATAAACATGTTTTATGGTCCTATGACCAGAGGGAAAAATATCACATATGTCATTGGGTAGGAAGTGTTTCAATTATGGAAAATATCCCTGTGGAATATCTTCATGGTAAACCTCTTGAATATATCATCATAACACAATACAGAAAATGTCCTATCTTATAGTATGGATTCACCAATGTATGACTCTAGCTTAGATTTCTACTGTGAGAAATAGCTTCTGTAATCTTCCTTTAAAATTATGATAATTATCTAGAAGTGTTTTTCAGTTACTTTATTTTATTGGATTATATATTAAAGATATCTGATGATTCCGATATATTGGTTTATGATTGCTTAGAATATCGGATAAGCTCTTCTCTTACCAATTCTTTTGTTCTATGAAATTAGTGTCTTTCTCTTTACCGTCCCTACTTCCATGTAGATAACATTAAGA